TTTTCATCTGGGTCAATAAAAGGGGTAATAATAAATAACTAAGCATATGAAAAGTAAATGAATAGATATGACAGTTTCTAAAATTCTATATTGTAGGACTAAAAAATGACTAGTTTAAATTATCTTTAACTTTGAATCTAAAATGTAGGCTAGTTTAGAAAACATTATTATTTTTTGGAGATATTTAATTTGTAGTTTAATCTTTTATGTTCTATATATATCAGATCCCTGGAATTAAATAAAAACCTGGACAATAAAATCTGTGGTTTGTCAATTATTGACATGACTTTAAACATTTCAAAAGTGTTTACTGAAATGCTAAAATTATGCTTTTGACTTGTGAACAAATCTGGCTGAACATTGTATCCTAACAAATTAAATAACAAATGAAAACAAATATTCTGTATGGACCAGACCAACGCTAGAGCAGGTCAAAGGGGAAATGTTGTCACATGGTTGGCATAGCTACGCCTAATGACTGACAGGTGAACACTCAAGCTGAAATCTGACTCTAGTTATCAATCAGACACTTGATAGTTACACCCACGGCACACACACACACACACACACACACACACACACACACACACACACACACACACACACACACACACACACACACACACACACACACACACACACACACACACACACACACACACACACACACACACACACACACACACACACACACACACACACACACACACACACACACACACACACACACACATTTGCTACACATATGCTGGTATAAGTTAGAAATAGGCCAGCGATGAGTTCGGATAATTCCTGAAAATTCAGATTGACTTCTTTACTCATCTTCGTCTGATAGGCAGTTTATGATTGAGGCTCATTAATGTAGCTCTGGAGTTTTTCTGAGCTAATTTCACCTGATCAAATGTTTGCTTTGGCTCCATTTTCATAGATGCCTCTCTGTCTCCAGTTGTATCCTGACAAATACTTCATATCCCAACGAGATGGATCAAATTCTCATACAAGCTACAGAACTCAGCAACAGCTGGAGGAGCAGTGTGGGTGAGGATGAGAGTGGCATTTTAAGGAAATATTTAGAAGATGTGTGTGCTGAAGGACTGTTTTCATATCATTTTAGTGAATAGTTTTTGCCTCCTTTATATGAACATTTTGTCTTTATTAAATACATATGATGCTACGTTTACTTCAATATCTTTTAAATGAATAAAGTTTGGTTGTCAGCGGTTGTTGCATTACTTTAAACGTAGTTCTAGTTCGTTTTTCCCGCTGTTTTCTGTTCTGTCTCTGAGTTTTCTTCTGCCAGAGTGCACATGCTGAATTTTCATCACATCGACAAAGTAGCCAAAGTTTAAAGGGCTTCAGTAAATGTGCCCTCATCCTGTTGGCCCATCAGAAATCAAAGCGTTAAGGAAGCGTTGCCATCACATCTTAACCAGAACCGGCAGAACCCCGCCGGTCCAACGTATTTTTAGGAGTCTCATCGGCAAAGATCACTATACTAGCAATACAAAAGGCTGTGCGTTTGTGTAGAGTCGTAAAGTAGAAACCACTGGGGTGTGTGTGTGTGTTGGGGGGCTTTGAGGTTGTAGCTGGGGAGGAACTGGGTTGGGTTATTTCTGGAACATGCGTCGCTCCGGTCCAGGGACCAACAGCTGAGCATGTGCCAGGACAAGGGCGAGTCTCGATCCCTGCTGAGAAGACCAGATGCAGGTTCTGATAACCAACGTTAGGGCTGACCTTCAGCCTGAATGTGCATGCACACACACGCACACACACGCACGCACGCACACACACACACACACAGTTTCCCAGCCGCTCATCACTGCTTTACTTCCAGTTTACCCTTCTAGAGTTCTGCTGTCTGCCGAGAAACCACAGCATCCCCGACTCTGTCATTGTGAGACGGGCGGCTGTTATTACTGGTTAGTGAGCCACAGTCCTGGTCCTCTTGTGGGCAGCAGACGGGAGCGGGGACAGTGAAGCAGCTCACCACCAGAGACCTTGATCCGGAGCAGCCTGGAAGGCCTGCAGAGGCTAATGACAGGGAGCCTCTCACGAGGATCCTCCTAAAGGGGTTTGTGGCTCTGCCTTTGTGGTCTGAGCAGGAGCTGATACAGAAGCCCATCACTTCAGCATGGGACCTTTCTAACATGATCATTATCTCTGGACTGTGACTGATGAAGTTTCCAAAATGGCTTGAAACATCTGTGAGGATTCTTTGGGTCTTGCTGTCATGATGGTGGAACTTTGATCTTCTTCAAAACTGTCTCCGAGCTGTCACAGACGTCTGGAGCCAGTCCTGGCCCCGTCTTTATTCACTTTGAGTCAGAATTGGTGTGAAATGTCAGACAATAGAAGGAGACCCCCATCAATAACACAGATTAACTGGAGACAATAAATAAGACATTGAACAAATGTTTTCATCTAATTTTGCGACATACAAATGTTGTTCATGAAACAGTTTATTGCTCCAGCTAAATCAGACTTGTGTTTAGGGTACTTTTATTTTTCAGTTATCATAACAAACAGCATACGTACTTTTTAAGTTTCCAAAATGTTTGTGCTGGTTTCCAGTTCTTCCTCATGAGTCTCAGAGCCGCTCCGTCATGTTGCTGGAATTTCAAACATGTCGAAAACACAAATGTTCTCTCAGGCATCCCACTCGTCAGGATCACATCTACATTTGGTCACCTGTCAGCGTAGAAAATGTGAGAAGAGTGAGAATACCTAGCTACCAATTCAGCGTGATTCCAACACCAATCTGCTAAATGCTAATTTATCATCTACACCTGCAAATATTCCAGGAACATGGATGAAAGTCAGCTTGATGCTTTTGAATTATTCATCGTCTCCTGTTGTGTTGTGTGTTAGTGTGAGAAAATAATGAGCAACTTATAAAAGTTACGAAAATCAAGTTTGATGGATAAATCAGTATAACCATAATGCCCTGTCTGTTTTCATGTCATTAGAACTGTAAGCCCGTTTTTATTATTTGAACTATAATAAAATAAAACAGCTGTTCTTCTGATAGCTTCGGCAAACACAACTCATCCTGGACTTTCAACTTATTGGTAATGCAGATGCACCATCACAGTAGACCTATAAATGTTTTTGCTTTTTAATTATCCTTTAACAAGTGTCATATTTTAAATATTACAGATAGTTTTACTGGCTCACAGTTCAACCCAGCAAGGTATGATAATCCACCTCGAGACTCCCAAAGACCAGACTGGTTATGTGGACCTGACAGTTGATTCTTGGCGGTAGTCCTGAGTTAATGTCTCCATCTAGTGGACCATTAGAGTGCAGCAGGGAGCTTCTCAGGTCCAGGAGAGAGCATCTGCTTGTTTTAAGCAGTAGCTTCTGCGCACTGGTCCGGCTTTCTCCTAGCCTAGTGAACTAGACCAAATTCTTGCTTTGCAAAGTTTGGTCTAGGCATGCTCCATTGGAACCTCAGCAGCTCCTACCAGGACTCTGGCTAGCCAATCACAGCTCTCTAGAGGGGTTTCAAACACATAAAGAGCTGTGATTGGTCCATAATGGTGGGCCAATCATAGTGCTCTATCTGCTTAGTGAACAAATCACAGAGCTTTATCCGCTTTGTGGGCCAATCAGGGCACTCTGTATGCCTGGTGGGTGTGATGATGCAACAGAGTGAAACAAGAGTATGTCACATTCATTGTCCAGTGGAATGCAGAGATCATTTGAAAGACAACGGTAGAACCCGCCCCACAACCGAGAGCCGTCAATGGAGCATGGCCAGACTAAATAATACATTTATTTAGTCTGGCTTGCCAGGCTAGCTTTCTCCACATGCAGCCCCGGTTAGCAGGAGTTAGCGTCTTAGTTGAGCGTTTTCCCTGTAATGACTGAGCTCTACTTGTTGACAGCAGTTCTGTCTCTTACAGTTTAACTGGCGGGTGTTTACTTTAATATCCATCCATCACCTGTGCGATGTTAGGATGTACTTTGAAGATGTTCCAGTTCTGGAATGTTTAGGAAGAACCTGAAGGAATCAATAACCCCATGCTGCAAAAACGATTAGGTTCAGGAGTCAGATGACGTCCTATTTCATTGCAGAGTTGTAAATCAATCCATCCATCTGTCAATCGTGGAGGTGATAGTCCAGGAGGGAATTACAGACCTCCCTCTTCTCAGCAACTCTCACTAGCTCCTCCCAAATATGTTTGCAGGCTAGAGAGAACACATGTCCACTCCGGAGAGTCCTGGGTCAGGCCCAAGATGTCTTTCCAGCGCCCGGATGTTCTGCGATGGCTGTAACTAGCAGGCATTCTAATCAGATGCCCAGACCACCTTAGATGACTTCATTTGGTAAAGAGGGGTAAGTCCTGTGGCCGTATAGGCTGGAGGACGCACAAGTAAATGGAGACATTCTCCTTTCAGCTCCTCCTTCTTGCCCCGACGACCCAGAGAAACTGTGCCATTGCTGCAGCTGAGGCCATGATCCACGTGTGAAGAAGACACCAACATACACAAACTCCTCCTCTTCTCTAAACCCAGATGAACCATTCCACCTTTATCCGATTCAGAACCATGACCTTATAGTTGGAGAAGCTGAATCTCCTGACTGTGAACTGGCCCAGAGCACCCCAACGGCCATGGTTTAAACCACAGCAGAACCATGACATTAAAGTTTCTCAACACTGGGAACATGGACGGACCTCTTCTTTTGGTTTTACATGGTCCTAAAGGGATCCATGCATCCCCGCTAAGAATGTAGATACTAACCAAACACACGTGGACTGGATTACCTCGGCAACAAACTGATCCGGTGTTCAGTGAACTGGACAAAAGCCACAATCCTGATTCTGAGGTTCAACAACTGTTATCCTTTCCTGAAGTCTGGAGCAAACCTTCTGAGGGGTGTGTATTTCATGTTTAACACTAAATTTATCGTGTTTTACTAGAAACTCTGAAGCTCTCCTGCCTCTTCTGTGGCCACCGCACATGTCAAACACAAAACAACCATTCAAACATGATGCTGAACTTTGAAAGTACTTTATTAAAGTATGATGGTGCCGGGTCTGACGACTCTGGCTCTTTGGGAAATGACAAATGAGTAGGGTTGGCAAAACAATTTAAAAATAAATATGCCACATTTAACTAATAACTGCAACAGGTCAAATAGGATACGTGTGAAACAGATCTGATCTTCTGTGTTTTACTACATCACATTAACACGTTCCTAACGGAGCTTCAGACTCGTCTTCTACACAAACACACTCCATGAATAAATGCTCGCTTCTTAAAGAAATGGCAGCAGGTCAGCATCATATTGACACTTCATGTCTACGAGAGGAACTGAGCAGTGTGAGCAGATGTTGGTCCAGACACGATCTGGTGCTTTTATTTATCAAACCAAGTTAGAACAAAGCTCCAGGCTCCTGATAAAGTCCAGTCCACCTCAGAAGCAAGAGAACAAGGCCCATATCTCCTCCCAATATGGGCAAAGAGTCCAACTTACAGATGGGGAAACCTCTTCATGGGTCTCTGGTCATGATGGAGAGGAACTCCTCCTGATTTACTGAAAAGAAGGGAAAAACACCTGGTCAGATCTACTGGATTTACCTGGAAAGCTTAGACGCAAGAATGAAAGAAAACAAACAAAAAGCGAAGCAGCAGTGGATTTTTGTTACTTTAACTGAACATGTTTACACATTGTCGTTAGTAAATCTATTTTGTTCCAGGGCAGCAGATGCCTGCTGACGTGACAGGATCTGGTCTAACAGTGAAAGCAACAATGTTAGGAACAATCATATAAATAATTAAAATGCCTGTGTGTGCCAGAAGATGCAGTGATGATGTTGGTATTGTTGCATCTGCGGCTCTAATCAGACACAAAATCACAACAAAAGAGAGACAGAGTTGCTCTCATCTCAGACTCCGGTCTTACTTTCTCCATCCCCGTCTGTGTCAAACTCGTCGATCATGCTGCGTAGCTCCTCGTCGCTGATGTTCTCCCCGAGTTCTCGAGCAACCCGTCTCAGGTTCCTCAGGCTGATCTTTCCTGACTCGTCATCGTCAAACAGCTTGAAAGCCTTCATGATCTCCTCTTTGGGATCTCGCTCCAAGATGCGATCCGTAACTGTTGAGGGGTAGGGAAAAGGTTTAGTAGCTAATGAAGCACCTCAAGCTATGAGGTAATACCAGAGCCGATGACCACCTTACCCACTTCGCTGAAATCCTCAAAGGTGATTTTCCCACTTCCCTCTCTGTCGTAATCCTTCAGAATCTTCAGAACATCCACTTTCTTCACTTCAAAACCGAGAGCGCGCATCGCCACCTGACAAGATGTTTAAATGTTGTTTTGGTTTGAATTCAGGATTAGAACAATTAGTAACTAGCACTAAAACAACAAATAAATGTTATTGCTGTAGAACGTTAGCTCCAATTCCCCTGGAGCTTTATTTCAGCAGGGTGCCTTCAGACATGGAAAACCCATTAGCGTTTCTCCAAAAGGTGATTAAATGGTATTTAGTTACTTTTACTTACATAATAATACATAAATACCTGGTGCTCCACATTCACAGCAGTTAAAGAAAAATAGGAATGATGAGGTTATAAAAGCATAACTTATATACGGCATTATTTCAGGCACAAAAACCATAAGGTAACCATAACAACCACCACTATGGCCCATTTTCTTACCTTCAGCTCGTGATAGTCAATCTCCTTATCTTTATCCGTGTCAAATAAGTCAAAAGCTTCTTTAATTTCATGCTTTTGGTCCTCGGTGAGCTCCCTCCTCTTCTTGCGCTTGGTTGTCTCAGCTGCAAGATCAGTTCTGCTGAAACAAACACACATGCAGTCTCACCTCAGACACTACCTGTATCACAGCCATGACTTATTAATGCATTAACCCATACACTTTGTTATCCAATGAGAACTAAACCATTTTCTGTAATGTTTATTGGGGTCTCTCTGATGACACAGGGTAGGCTAAAGGATCTTAAAAAAATCTACCTTATGCCTTGTTCTAAAAAAAATCAAAAGCAAAATAACCCAGAAGAACATCTAAAGCTTTGTAGGTCAAACTTGGTTAAGGTTTAAGGTCATGTGTCAACAATAAGGTAAACCTCATTCTCCAAAGCCTCTGCTGAACAACAACAACAACAACAACAAAAACAACCCACATTTACCAAAAACATTGGGAGGACCTCCAAAAGTCTGGGGGAAATTGTTTATTGACAGATGGAAAAAAACAAAACAAAAAAAACGAGTACATTCGGGTCCCCCACCGTTTCTCCGCCAGCTTCTTTGTAAACTGTTGTGTTTAGCAATATTATTTCAAGAAAATCCCTAAAAAAATATATCTTAATCATTTGGTCATTGCTGTAGCTGTGAAATTCATCATGTTTAGTGAATATCACTAATTCTAATCTAATTCAGATTACGATACAATTAGATAATATTACTCAATTTACAGTTATACACAAGGGACTCGTTCCCTCATAAATGTCTTATCCTGATAAAAAAAATAACATCTACGCCTATAATTGTACAATTTGGCAGGACGAAATCATCTTGACGAGACAAGCGAAGGCGTACGTTTTTCAACTGGGGAACAAATCTCGACGTACCACCGGTTTCAACTGAACTGTAACAGCCACATCTCGCGACAAAAGGTTAGCTCCTTACCTTAGAGATAAACTCATTCCAGGTGAATTTATAAAACCTTTAAACCAAATGTTATTCTGAATGCTATGTGGCTACAGCTTCCAGCAAACACAACAAATCCGTTTATCCGCGCTCACACACCAGGAATCCTATTGGTCGCTGGTTGCCAGGCAGCAGTTAGGCGAGATCTGGTTGGTTAATGTTACTTCTTCAAGGCCGCTTACCCGGTCGTTGTCATTGCTCTATGCAGTCAATTAGAGCACTATTGCCACCTCGTGTTCATAACTGATACCACAGTCTATATTATACATATGGATGGATATACATATGCCCGGTATATATATATATATATATATATATATATATATATATATATATATATATATATATATATATATATATATATATATATATATATATATATATATATATACATACAAACCAATGATGAATCAAAAATATTCTGACACATCACCATTGCATAAAGAAGAAGAAAGGGCCTGTATATTATGTAAGGTACCTAAATTCTCCTAAAATTTTCAATATCTGGTGAATTTGGACATAGAGAATTATTCTAATGACTTCACGTGCTAATGTAACACTCACAAGGTCTTTATGAACCTCAAATCTTGATTTTGTTTTAAAAAAAATTTTGGGGTGGGGGGACACCCTCTCCACCAGCTGTTAAAGTCTCATACGTTCAAGCTGCTTTATAAAACTATTATTCCAAGCCCAGTTAAATCTTAACTTTCAGAAATTCTAAGCAGCCAGAGTTCAGAGTTGCCAAAAAGTGCTGCTTTTAGTTTTTGCCCACCAAAGAGTGCTCTTTCATAGGAAAACTCTTCTTTCTCTAAACTAAGTTGTGGATGTTCTAACATCGCCAGGACTTTTTGAGTGCCACAGGATTTTAATCTATAACAATGTAATATGTTACCAGTAGTAACCTTTGTCACTGTGGTGCCAGCTCTCTTCAGGTCATTCACTAATTCCCCATATGTACTTCTGGACTGTTTCCTCACCATTCTCAAGATCATTTGTACCCCACAAGGTGAGATCTTACACAGAGCCACAGGTCGAGGAATACTGTCAGTGATTTTGTATTTATTCCAGTTTCTAATAATTGCTGCAACAGTTGATCTCTTCCCACCAAGTTGCTTACCTGTTGTGGATTTACTCAAGCCAATCTTGTGCAGGTGTACAATCCAGACCATAGACTGTAAATCCAGACACTGATGTCGTTTGTCAACTCTCTGGTCTTGGCCATGGTGGAGTCTGACTGACTGAAGGTGTAGACAGGTGTCTTTTATACAGATACCAGTTGCCACTAATTCAGTCAGCAAGTGGAGGATAGATAAGCTTCTTAAAGAAGAAGTAACAGGTATGTGAGGACCAGAATTATTGCACATATGTAGGCACTAAATATGTATCTTCTGCACCATGATACAAATAATTTCTTAGAAAATTTTACAGTGTGACTTCCAGGATTTTTTACATTCTGTCTCATAGTTGAAGCAAACTGTAACTAGGAATGCACCGATGCGATACTGGTATCGGTATCGATAAAAGTTAACCAATACAAGGAACCGATAGCAATGCAGCTGCCTGAAAGTGGCTTCACTGTAACTTGTCATTTCTGTTCACCTAAAATTTTAGTTTTGTGATCATTTTTATTAATGTATGTATGTATATATATACATATATATATATATATATATATATATATATATATATATATATATATATATATATATGTAATCTACATCACAGTCTTTTCCTGTTGAAAGCAGAAAATTAAATTAAACCTGTATTCCAGTTCATTGTATTTTTTGTGTGGTAGAAGTATCGGTAATATGTATCGGCAAGTAATCAGATTCAAGTATCGGTATCGTATCGGTTTGGAAAAAAAGTGGTATTGATGCATCTCTAATGATATCAATTACAGACCTTCCTCATCTTTTTAAGTGGGAAAACCTTTTTTGCCCCACTGTATTGATCTCGTTCTAAATGGTTCATAGTTATGCCAGTCTTATTGGCCTTGCCTTAAAGTTCAACCTTTACGCTCTGTGTTTGAGGGAATTGCAACATGACTCAAAACTGTAGCTTGTCTGGTTTTTCCTCCGAGAGTTGCTGACAATAAAACAATTAAACTGTTTCCGTTTGTAAACCTGAAACAAAACAGACGTCCAGATCTGGGCTCCAAACCTGCAACTCCTGATATTTTTGTAATCTGCCTTTTGCAAGAGGTAAGCCAATTTAAATAGCCATTTCCGTCTTTGACGCGTTAAAGCTCATTTCTTGAGTGTAAACTCAGGATCTTGTAAACAGGTTGCCCCCTCTATAAACAGAGCTGAGGCTCAAAAGCCAGTGTGAGCACGCTATCACAGGAACAGTGAGCCTGGACCAGCGAGCTGGGCTGTGTCTGTTGTCTTCCAACTAACCGCTGCAGCCCATTGTGGTGCTGCGTTTACTCTGGGAAATGAGGCTGTAGGTGGAGGGGCTTGATTGGTGGTTTGTGGTGCAGAAGCAACACCAGAGGGTCTCATCATACTTTAATACATGTGCAGGGTTCAGTCAAGACTAAAAACATTGTGAGCAAATAGTGTTTCACTTTAAAAAAACATTTAGCTCCTGTTTTTTTTAAACTCTCATCTAATTTTATTTTTAGCATGAATTTGTTAAAATGCAAATATATTTTTATTACCAGAGAGAAAGCCACCCTGTATTTTAAAGGAGTGAAACATTCGTCCAATCAATACATTTGCAGTTCTCTCCAGTAGGAATGAAAGCCTTGTAAGTCATACTCTGGGTAAAAAAAAAAAAAAAAAAAAAAACTCTGGTGCGCCAGGTTCAGGAACTAGAAGTGAGCCACATCACAGCTGATCTTCAGACGATGGGATTTGGAGTCATATGTGTCATATTTGGACATCTCATCTCTGATTGGATAACAGCTATGTGACTCTGCCACTGACTCCGTTCACTCTGCAACGTTGATGTTTTATCTCCACAAATAATACAAGTCTGAAGGAGTTCTGCTTTGTAGTAGAGTCATTAATGCTAACGGTTAGCTTCTACTAGTCGAGGCATTCTCTGCTGTTTCCTGGACACTAAACCAACAAGTAGTAAGTAAATTTTATTTATATAGCACCCATCACAGACATTGAATCACAAAGGGCTTCACATAGATCAAAACAACATAAAACATTATGATCTCAAAATAGAAATAGATTAAAATCAGAAAAAATTAAAGTCATAAAATTATAAAATTTCATTAAACAAAGATTATTACAATTTTTTGTTAATAATAAGAAAACAAAAGATTTCTGTGAAAGCAGCTTTACTGTATATAAAAGGGTCTTCAGCAGATTTTTAAAGGTGACCAGACTGTCAATGCTACATAAGGATAAAGGAAGATCTTTCCAAAGGCGGGGTGCAACAGTTTGGAAGGCCCAATCACCTCGACTTTTATATCTGGTCTTTGGATCTTCTAGAAGGTTTTGGTTTGTGGACCTGGGGTCTCGGGTTGGAGCTTGACCAGGAAGAGCAGGGCTTTACAATTCAGGGCCTTGACGGTTGGTATCCAGCCCATTTTAGTGGTTTCTCTGGTCCAACACAGTGGGTGAATAACCTGTGCAGCAGCCCATCAGGACCTGCAGAAGCCTGTTAATCACCCACTTATTGAAATCAGGTGTGTTAAAGCAGGGTTAAAACCAAAACGTGCTGGATACCGGCCCTTGAGGTCCTGAATTGAATTGCCCTGATACAGAGCATTGAAAGTTAGAATCAGTATTTTAAACTGAACTCTAAAGTTAATAGCTAACCAGTGCAGAGTCATTAGGAGAGATGTGTGCTCTTCTGTTTGCTCCAGTTAGGAGCCTTGCTGCAGAGTTCTGGACCAACTGAAGGCGGTCAAAAATCATGTGAAAAGTGTGTTACAGTAATCTAGATGGGAGGAGATAAAGGCATGGATGACCATTTCAAGTTCATGTTTTGACACCAACCTTCGCAGTTTGGAGATATTTCTTAAGTGATAAAAACTGTTTCGGACCAATCAGTGTGTTTACATGCAGCCAGTAACCCTTTTAAAACCTGAATATTCACAATAACCCGGTTCCGCACGGCCATGTAAACACCGCCAAAAACCCGGAAATGCTCATAACCGGGTTTTTAAAAACCCGGTTACTACACCTGGGGTAACCCTTTTCTAACCCAAATGTTTGGTCGTGTAAACGCATATCGGGACATCCCCATCAAAGCGTGTGTTCTGCGCATGCTCTGTTCGCAAAGAATCTTGGTCTTTTGAATAGCGAGACGTCTTGTATGTGCCAGAACACCGGAAGTAAACAACAAGTTGGGAGCAACATAGCGAGTCGCGGCACAGCACCACACTTTTGAAGTGACGAGGAAACCTCTGTCTTCATCGGTCTGGTGAAAAGTATGAACATTATGTCTTTTGTTGATGGCCGAAAGTACAGAGACAGCGAAATATACAAGAAGGGAACAGCATATTGCGTCTTGACGTAGTCCATACGTCCTGACGCTACCCCAACGTCCGCATTTAAATCGGGTTATGCAAGTCAGGGGTAACTCTTTCTATTTATGCTTGTAAATGGGTTATTCTGATCAACTCAGAAACCTGAATACCGACCTTAACCCGATCATAACCCGGATATTGGCTGCATGTAAACGTAGTCAATGATTTTGAGTGGCCTTCAAGAGACATTGATTGCTCAAAAACAACACCCAAATTTCTCAAGTTTGTCTTGACGGCAGAGGATAAATGACCAAATTTTAGGCTAATCAGGGGAACCATGCTCTTAGGGGCAATGACCAGACATTCAGTCTTTTCAGAGTTTAACAGGAGGAAGTTTTCTTCTAGTTAGCTGGTGATAGCTGAAAGACATTCTAGTAATTCAGACAGTTTATACTGTAGAACTCAGAATCTTTAAAGGAGCAGTTAAGCTGAATGTCATCTGCATATACACTCACCTAAAGGATTATAAGGAACACCATACAGTATTTAACCCCCTTTCACCATCAGAAGTGCCTTAATTCTATGTGGCATTGATTCAATAAGGTGCTGAAAGCATTCTTTAGAAATGTTGGCCCATATTGATAGGATAGCATCTTGCAGTTGATGGAGAATTGAGCTGGAGTCAGGTCAAGACCCCGATGAG